AAAAGTAATTATTGCAACAGCATAGAAGAAATTAAAAGAAAAAGAAAAAATTTGGATTCTTCTACATATTTTATATACAGCACTCTTTGGGAAAACAGAGACAAAGAAAGTCAAAATAAGAGAAGCACTAATAAAAAACCTAATTCTGAAAGAAACATAAGACAAACTAGCAAAGCTATTAAACATAAGATCAAGACAGCAGTTTGCAAACACAGTAGCAATAATGGCCTAGGACATATTCTATGAACAAATATAGAAAATACATTGTAAGAAAATTATTGAATGAGAGAAAAAGTAGAAATAACAGAGAAAAATAAAAGAAAAAAAGGTGAAAGTTCGAAGAAACCAGAAAATTGAAAAAAGGCAGATCAAGAAAAATTAAAAGAAAAAGAAAAAATAAAAGAAAAAAAAAACAAGTTGAGAAAGAAATAACAAAGACAATTTTGGGGCTTGTTATAGAAGAGAGAAGACCTTTTCATTATGGACTTTAAGTAGTTAGATAAGTAGCTTACTTTAGTTCGAAGTAATGCAACAGGTTGCACTTAGGTATCATTAAGGTGGCCGGGAGATGCTAAACTTAAATATTAGAGATATATAAATAGTTACAAATGTAATTTAATAAAGTACTAGCATGACTACTTAAAAAAAAATAAATAAATAAATAAAAATTGTTTTATTAATATATTTAAACTTATATAAATATAAATTTAATTAAGTTTAATATTAATATTCTGTAATTATTTTTAAGAACTTTATTATAGTTTGTCAATATTAGTTTAATAGTTATAAACTAAGTACCTACTATATAATGATTTATAGTAACTAAAAAACTTAACTAATTATTATCTTAAAATTAAAAATTACTAAATAAGTAGTTGTGCAACATTGTCGCATGAAACCAGGAACAGATGAATGATAAATGTAGTATTATAGAGTAGAAGTGTTTGTAAATTTAAGAGTTGAATCAGATTTGCATGTAGGGTTGTGAAATTACTGTAATGTTATATAATTTAGCATAATTTTTTGTAAGATTTGATAATTTGATTTCTTAGATATTCAAATATATGTAATGAATAAAACTAGGCCAATTTATATAATCCCAGTATTTATATCATGTAACTATACTTATTTGAAATTTGACTTATGTAAAATTACAAATAATGTAAGATAACCCTATTTGATGTAATATAAAACTAGTTGTAAGTTAAGTTAAGTAAGGTGGATTTAAAGCAGGTCACATGGATTGGCAAAAATTATTTATCTTATTTACTTGAAATCTTAAAATAAATTAATATAATACTTCGTAACATGCTAGGAATAATCTGGTTTAAGTTTTAAAACCCTGTCTGTTTAAATTTTATAACCAGATTAAGACATTGTAAATCAATTTAATATTAAATTGGATTAATGTTAATCCAAATTCATACTCAAATTTTATTAACTGATTCTGATTTTTACTAGATAATACGAAAAGATCTTTTTAGTAATCATGATTTAAACATGCATATGATTCAACTATTGTAATTATTTGATTTAGAATTAATAATTATGATTTATTTTAATGTTAGCAAGATTAATGTTAAAACTAATTATGAATTAAGAAAAATATGTTTATAAATGAAAAATAGTTGTTGAGAAGTTATTTAAGTGACAAAAAGTTTTGAATAAATAAGTTGGATTTTTCTTTTATGTAAATTAAATGTCAAGAAAATATAAAACATAATTTAATATGACTAAATTTTTGTATATAATTATAATAGCAATATGAAGATTTTAGAGAGTTTGTTTTTTCCATAAGATAAATATATTATAGACTGAAATTTACTTAATGTATGTGAATTATAATAGGTTGATAATTAGGATTAACTTATCTTTAGTTAATGAAAATTAAAGAATGAGGCTGTTTCTAGTAATAATAAACAAAAATATGATTGAAATATAGTATATAAAGTAGGTAGAATGTTCTTTTAATATTGTTGTATTAAAAACAATAGAATTGGAATAATAATATAAGTGCAATTTTTAAGTAGATACTTTTTTAAATAGATACTTTTAAAAGATCGAATTGAGGTAGTCAATATGGATGAAGATAGATAAGTGAAATTTCATAAAATGTGTATGTGATTTATAGTTAAAGTTAACTTCTAAGTTAGCTGATATTTGATGATAAAGTATAGTAGGGTGATGAGTAACATTGTGATTAATATGTGTTTGCTTTGTTCAAGTTTAACATAGTAAATTAGTGAATAATTATAAGCTTCAAGTATTGTTATATAAAAAAAAAAAAAAAACCAAGTATGACTTACTAGTATCTATTAGATAAAACCTTAAGCAAGCTTGTAAAGAAGCTGTATTGTAGCATCCAAAGAAAAGGTAATCATATTTATTATTTTGAAATGATAAGCGTAATCAGAGACAGGTCTTAAGTGAGAAATTGTAAATATTTTGAGTTGTGCAAGACATTCTAGGTACAAAATTAAATGAATAAGGTATGAAAGCAATATTAGTTGAGGAATTCTTTATAATAAAATTAGGTGACATTATATACTATAAACTGCTTTTGGAGTTGAGCTTTTTAAAAAGCAGAGTTTTATAGTATACAAGTAATATTTTAATGATTACAGATCTTAAAGAATGAGTGGATGTTTATAATAAAATTACTGGAAGTAATAGTTGCTATTATTTGATGATGAAGAATCACATGCTGTTATATGTAATATTTGGTTTTAATGTATTTACAAAGAATATCATGTTATACTATTAAGAAATAAGTTCAGTTCATATCTATAATTAAGTATTTGTTTATTGTATTGTTTGTATGAAAACTCATTTATGATTTTAGAAATAAAATTCTTTTGGAATGTTCTTTAGTACAAATTAAAGTATAATTTATCATTAGGTTAGATTGTTTTTAGTTTATAAAATGAGTTATTAGATTTATTTGAATGCTTAATTCATTATTAAATGATTTATTTTAGAAAATAAAATTTGAATGATAACAGAAATATTATATTGAGATGGATTTATAATCCAAACATATATTTGAAGGTGTAGGGTAAAAGGTTTAATAGAGAGGCTCCATATATTTCTGTGTACTGTATACTTTGTAAGAGATATTAGATAAAATATGATGGTTGGTTAGGTATAAAGAAGATTAAGTAAAAAAAAATACAGGTTATTTATATTATAACACACTAGAGTGTTAAACTATATGTATGTTTTATATAGTTTTTACAAATAAAATTGAAGAATAGGGGTTGAAAATAAAGTAATATCATAGACTAATTTTTTTTGTAATCATAAACAGTTTATATTAATCAGAATTAAAATATTATAAACTTGTTGCTAAAGCAAATTATAGACTTCATATAAAAATAATAAGTATGTATAATGAGCTGGCATATTATGTGTAGTAAACAGAAGTTTATTTATTATTGTATTTAACTTAGTGATGAATAAAAATATTTATGATATTTACACTAAATTATTATACCAATGTTAAGATTTTTTTAGTTGATTATATATTATGAGAATTAATAAGTAATGGTAAGAAAAAAATAAAAGATATATACAAATATATGAAAGTATGTGTTTCTAGAACTTTTGAACAGGTACTGTATATAAAAAATCTGAATTATGTAAATGACATAACATCGGATGACCATAATGCACAAAAGGAAGGTGCAGTAAAATACAATTTGATGTATTAAAAAAAAAGTAAGAAGAATATATCAATCATATGATCAAATTTTTAGCAGAGCTGTTCTTTGTGCACATTCTTTAATATGTATGAATTCTACACAGAGTGCAAAAGATTGTCGCATATTTAAAATTGTTTCACTAAATAGTTGTAAAATTAGCAAATTGTTTAACCTTTGGGTTCTAGAAAGCATTACATATGTACTATTATTTGTATGTCTTCCTGATAGGTTGACGATTGTTTTTTGAAGAGTATGTCCTTGGGATTTAAAGTCTGTAAACACATATGCAGGTGCTAAAGGAAGTTGAAAATGCTAAAAATTTTTATGAATCATAGATCCATCACGTCTCCAAATTGTATATATGCAGGCATGCTTGATAGGATAGATAGGTACATGATTGGATGTAAGATTTTTATAAGTTCCAGGTTCTTTACTAGTTAATTCAACAATAACATACTTAGGAAAACCTTTTAACACTATATTGTTTCTATGCAAAGATGAATAGTCAATTGAATTTTGGTCATATATGATTTGTCAAAGAATTTCTAATGAGCCATTAGGCATATTATTATTGGTACAGATGTTAACTGTTAAAATGACTTTCATATTTATCGATAAAGGTAAGATTCCATATAGTGTATTCTCTTTAGTATCAGACACCAATAAAAATTTTAGATGATTATTTTCAGTAAGAATTTTTAGATTATAAGAGTCAATCACACATGAGTAAATAATAAATTGATTATTATCATAGGCATGCTCTTTAACAACTTCAAGATTGAGCTAAATGTGAAGGTTATTTTTTGTTACCAGAAAAGTGGCATCTCTCCATTCTTTAGAGTTGATTAAATTATCACTAAGAATTCTTGATCATAAGGCCTCTAGTTGAATTTTTGTAATATTATTATGATGCATATTTTCGAGTATGTATGTGTAAAAAGGGTTATCTATTTGACACATTTGAGTTTTTACTAAATGACATAATTAATATTTAACCAGAGGGTTCTGCGAGTTGTATTGGTAACAGTTCGAGAATTGATTGGTAATAGGTCAACATTACATTTTCTCTTCATGCCTTTCGAAGGTTCGTTTTCAACTAGAGATGAATATGTAATTTTTTCAGACATGTATAATGCTTTGTCTAAAACTGGTAGTAATTGCATAAAATCACCAGCAAATAAAATGTTAATTTCAGCAAATGGAGTAGAATCATCACTTGCTTTTATTTTTTTTGTAAAAGTGTAAATCATAAAAGAAGATTTTGTCCAATTATGAAAGTTTCATCTATGATAGCGTACTCTATTGTAGATCAGTATTCTTGAAGCTGGCACAGACTTTTTCTGATAAATTAGAATGAGTATTTAGACTTTTATTGAAACTGAATCTGCATGCAGAGTGGATATCACTTCTATATATATTTACTGCAGCAATACCAGTAAGTGCTAAAACTATCAGAGTGCTACTTTGTGAAGTATATTCAAAATATGAACATATTGCATGAATAACTCTGGATTTACTAGTTCCATCTGCATCAGTAAGATAAAACAATAATTGAGAAGGTTTATTCTTGGATAATTGATTATTTTTTTGATAATGTTTGCAGAATAAGTAATAGGCCATTTTTTGTTCATTGTTTAAGTCTGATGCGAACCTTTTTAAGAAGTCTGGATTTTCAGTAATAGTAATATCTAGGTGAGCATTTTCACAATTATTATGAGGAGCATGCATTAGGTTAATATCTTTTTTAAGAATAGGGTTAATATTATCTTGTAAGGTAGTCTTTCGAGAGAAGATTGTATTCTGCCAAATTTTTAACATATCACTATAATATGGACTACTTGAACACATAGCTTCAGATTCAAAGTTTTCAGTAAAGTTTATATTATCATTATTTGGTAACGAAAATTTATTTATAGAAAATCTACCTCAAATTTGTAAAAAGTTCATAACAAAGTCAATAGTTCTATTATTTTTTAAGCCAGATCTGATAACTATTTCAGAATCAAGTTGAAGAATTGTGTTATCAGATGCATTATTCATAGCTAAATTATTATCATCATTAGAAAGGTCTAGTTCATCAATAGCATCATATCCAGGGACACAATGATCTATATGGCAAGCTTTTGCAAGAATCAGTTCTTTTAATGCATTTCTTCGTAGTTCTTGATTGAGCTCTGTCTCTTCTGAACATCTATGTAATAATTTTATATTATAGATCACAAATTTTAAGTGCTAAGATAAAGAAGAGCTATTTAGAAAAGCTTGACAGGCTTCGGCCCAAGTGTTGTATTCTTCACGAAGGTCATGAACAGTTTCCCAAGATTTAAACAACATAAGAATGCATAACCTATAACATTCCATATTTGCCTCATCATCTTTTTTAGACAGTTCTTTACCATATAGCACAACTACTCTCTCAGTACTTTTTAGTCTACATAGTTGAATATGTGATTTATATTGAGGATGAATATTACTAGGAACATAAATATTGTCATTATTACCATCACAGAAAAAAAAACGATCCATTTATGACTTGTTGTTCTGGTCCAATAACATAGAAAGCTCACAGGCATTTAACTGAACTTTCTTAATGACAGACGCATAGTTATAGAGGCAAATATTATGTAAAAATTTACCCCGAAACTGATAATCAACATAGAGGTTTATAGCAGTTAATGTGCCATTATAAAAAGATATAATAAAGGATTTATGTGTTGAGTTGTGATTGACCTGTTCTTCTGTATCCAACCCATCATCTGATTCAACATCAGTTTCAATAGTATTATTTGGAAATTGATGAAATTTAGCTCATTCTTTTATAATATAATATTCAAAAGTTTGAAGATGGATCAATGTGAATTTAGTTGGGGTGTAATAATCACATATACCTAACAAGTAAGCAGAAACTTGTAGGCTTGTAAGCTCCATTTGTCTGGCCATTTTGGTGAGGCATTTCGTTACAAGGTTATGAGATTTTAATACAAAATCATATGAAATTTTATCAGATAATTGAGTTAAAAAGTTTTTTAGAGTAGAAGCATATTTTAAAAAAGAGCTATGTGTGCTAAAATCTGATTTAGTAATGTAATCAGTAATATAATAAATGTAAGCCAGAGCAAGTTACCAAGTGGATATAAATTTAATATCATTATTCCCTTTGCATGCAGCTGTTATATAAAGTTTATGATTGTTAACAAAGGTGCTCGCACATTGAATAGCTATTATACTTTGTTCAGGAAAAATCATACCAGATGGATCTACAAGTTCTTGTAGAAAGTCAAATTAGCAATGTTTATGTAAACCATGATTATATTTCTTGCAGGAGCGAGTGCAATAATGAAAAAGAGTATGTTTGCAAATAGCAAGTAGGTTTAAATGAAGCTCTTCTTCAAAGTTGTATAATTTGGGATAAGGTATGGGTAGAAAAGATGGATGCATTCACTTTTCAAGCATCATTTTAGAGGCCTCGTATTTGGTTTTAATTGTGATATCATTAATGATTTCATTCTTTAGGAGATAATTAATGACTTCACAAACAATATCACTGACATAATTTAAGAGATGCTTGCAAAATTCATTATTGGTTTTAAGTTTTTGGCATAATAATAAAGGGTCATGAGCTCCATGAAGCCAAACAAGCATGTGACAATGCGATGTACCACGATCTTGATATTTAACTATGCCATACTAATTTTTTATAGAGCTGAATATACCATCATTTTTTCTTTTATATCTAATTAAGGTATCTATAATTGCTTGGATTATAACATGAAAGTATTTAGTAACAGCTGTAGAGTCAAGGTGGGCAAGCCGAGCTCTTTCTGAAGCTTTAAAAAGTTTTCTGAAGAGAGAATTTGAAGATCTATTTCTTTTCCAATGTACATCATAACAATAGAGCTATGAAAGTCAGCAGGATTTATAGTTATAAATAATGAAGGTGTACTATCTTATATAATAATAGCATGTATTTTATAGCGCATGCGCAAACATGATTGGTGAGATGCCATTAATTTTGAACCTGCAGAATTGACATTCTTGAGCAATTCGTTAACAGCAGGATTACTAATCAATTGACTATCTTGGACTTGTTTAACAGCAAAATCAATATCTTCAGGTTTTAAAGATGATATTAGATTTGCTGATCAATTGAAATTAATATTTTTTGTTAGGTTATAAGATTCTGTTGATACTTCTTGCTGCTGTAAAATGTTAAAAATAACAAAGAGAAACGATCTGTGTTGTCTAAACTTTGGATTGTTATGTCACATGAGGTGATTAGCTTATTTTTTTAATGAGATTTGAATAATCGACCTTTGTGACCACTAACATCATAAGTAAAAAGAACTGAAAAACCTGCAAGAAGGAGAGTTAAGTTTTCATATTCATTTAGAAGTTTATTGCTATGAGGTACATTTAATATATGTGATTGTATTGCTTTATCTTTTAATTTAGGCACATTTTCATTTGATGGTAATTGCTCATAAGTATTATAATCTGGGTTATCAACAAGCTTCTTAAAAGAGAGCAATGTAAGCTCTTTTCTGGTAATAAGTATGTCATTAACATCTATTATCCCAGAAGGTCTGAGTTCATTTGCATTATTAATTGAATTATTACTTATAAAGTCTTTTAAATTATGTTTATTAATATTAGACCATTTTTCAATTTCATAATCATTACTTTTACTATTAGATTCTTGCTGATTACAAGTGTAGCCGGTATAATGCTCTGTTTCACAAAAATCAATATCTACAACTGTGGTCATTACAGTTAAGGCTTCAGGAATTTCTCCTTCAGATAGGTTATTTAAAATATTCTTATCAAGTTTAATTTTATTTTTAAATAATTTATTGTGGTCAAAAAGCCACTTAAGAGCAATTGTTATCTTACTTTTTCGAACTTAAAGCACTTTTTTGAGCTGGTGCTGAGTAGGAGTTCATTTCTTCATAAAAACTACTTTTATATATTTACAAAGCTTATATATCGGTAAGGGCAATACATTAATTAAAAAACTTGTATTTTGAGGCAATGTCATGATGTATCCTCTAAGCTTATAGTGAGTATGTCTTCTTTTCATAATCTGTATAAGATTCATGCATGGGTACCTGGCGAGATGAGGAGTTGTTCTAGTATTGATAGGTCTTGAAGACATGCTAGGATGGAACCAATCCACATATCATTGGCTAATGATAGTGGTGAAGTCATACATTTTTGTAAATAATTATCATAAGAATGACAAATTTGTAACTAAAAAGGCTTATGAGAATTATCAGAATCGTTAAGATGTTTAGATGAGTATATAAACCTAGAGTGATCAAGAAGAATATTTAGATGACTAGCAGTAATATAAAGGTGATTATAGTCAAATTGATTTCAAATGATGGATTAGTAAGTTCAAGTAGTGCTTTAATCAAGAAAAAATTAATTGTTCATACTGAAATTTTTTTGTAATCTTTGTTATTATAAATTTCTGAGCAAACTGTGCATGGTAACTCACATAATTCATTAAGATCAACTATATCTCGAAATTCAGCCAACACTTCTTTAGCTATTTCTTTTCTGGTAAGTTAAGACCATGCAATATAGTGTTGATTAAGCTTTTCAAATTTGATATCCATATCTATAATACGTAAAGATGATCTTTCGTATGTCAAGATTCAATTCTCTTTTTCTTCAGTATAGCATTTTGATTATCATTATATGACCTTCGCAATTGAAGATTTTTATACTGAAAAACTATCTGTTCATGATTTTTTCTCTTCCTGGCTTTACCTTTAGTTTTTATATTAATTATGATGTGTTTAAAATAATATAAAAATGTATATGATAAAAAATAAAATTAAAGTTTATAGATATAAGAGAGTTTTGTATCAATGAATGAGATATTTATTTAATACTAATATATGATTAGAAAAACAAATACCTTTTCTCTTCTTTTTTTTTAACACAAAGTGCAATCTTTTTATACTTTATAGCAGATAATGATTTAAGAAAACTTATGCCACAATAGATTTTCATCTGATCGAATGAACTATCATTAACTAGTAATAATTTTTTCGTATTCTCTTGCTCAATATAGTAAAAACCTTTAAGGAACTATCTGGAAAGTCCGAAGTGCAGCCATTTTTAAACCATATTTAGTAAATTATACAATTATATTAAACAGGAAAATTACAATAAAATACTTGGTTTCAACTTATCTATTCACAATCTACTTTACCAAGTTTGGTTCAGGCATTAAATAATTAATATCAATAAATAAACAATGTTTAATTAAATTCACTATTATTATTTTGATAGAGTTCTAGATGCATGCTATTAATAGATGTCTACTAATTCTGATTTAAATTAATTTAGTATAGTTGAACTTTAGTCGAACATATCTTTGGTTCAGTTGGAATTTGCCAAGAAGAATGGATAGTATTATTAAAAATAAACTAACCAATTACACTAATGCTTACTATCTAAATTTATTATTTCACATATAGAATATTTAGCAATTAAAAATTTAAAATAAGCTATCTGATTTTATTTATGATTTATGTAATTTAGAGATAACGATTAAAAGTAAATAATTAAAAGAGACTGACATTTATATGAAGGATCCTATTACTTATAATTATAATATGATCAAAAGAATATTATTTAATAGACTTTCAGGAAATCGAAGCAAGTGAATTTGTATAATAGGGAGTACAACTGGTCCTATTTTCACATCTAAAAACACAAAAATTTAAAGTTAATAGTTGCATATATATGTAATAACTTAGAATATGTATAAGGATGAAAGTTTTAATAAATTATTTTTTAGAAAATACTATAAGCAGATTTTCCTATTTCCAATTATAATTTTATTGCAATCAAGAATTAACTAAGCACATTTATTTTTATAAAGATTCATGAATTGCTTATTATAGAGACAGCATATTGATTTTGTGATCAGTTATTAGTATTATAAACAAGATAGATAATATAATAAAAAATAAATTGAATTAATCAAGCAATTATGACATTCTTATATATCACAACAAGATCAATTCAAAAAAAAATATACAACTTAATAAATAAATTACCATATCTGATATCTATTATATTCATTAGTATAAAAATTTTTAATATTTTTTTCTTTTTCTTTTAGTTGGATTTCTAGGTGCTCTTTTTCTTTTTCTAGGTTGTGATTCTTCTAGTTCTTCAATGTCTTGAAATTCTACGTTACAAGCTAAATACATAGCATTTTCATTATTACTTTCATTTCTGTTTTCATGATCAGATTGCTTCTCATCACTTTGATAATCTTCAATAGTAGTATATATTTTTTATTATCATAGTATAGACTAGCTTCAATGTTGGTATTAGTAGTATGAAATCCTTTATTATTACAGAATAGGGTAGCTTCAACATTGGCATTAACAGGATTTACAGATTTCCTTAATGAACAATATTGATTTTGGGGTGCTTTTGTTATAGTAGAATCAATATTATCATCAATAATATTGATTATTGATGGTGCATCTGATATTGTAGAGTGAAAACTTTCAGACCCACCAATATTGATAGATGAGGTTCTTAGATAATCGATATCAGTGGCCTCGATCATTATCTTGCCAGACTTAGAAAATTTAAAAAGACCTAATATAAAATAATTAGAACATAATTTAATATTAGAACCTAAATTACCTAAATATTTAAATCTGGACAAATTTAGCGAGTAAATAATTGTCATATCCATCTTAATATCAGAGTTACCAGTGACAGAATTATATTGAATTGTTTTTGCACCAAAATAAATAAAATCTCCAACATTCTTTAGCTGACGGGTAACAGTCACAAAGTATATGCTATAAGGAATAGTTACAGGAACATTACTCAAGACAAATTCGCAGTTAGAGTTTTCGTTATCAACAATACTTGAATATGCAATAGTAAAACATAGTTCAGAATTCTCAACAATAAATTTACTTGAAATAAAAACCAGATCTCTATTTGCAAATGTTTGCAACAGTTGATCAGCAGGAAAGAAGTATTTGAATCTGATTGTCTGTGTCAATTCTTTGGTAAGCTTGTATTTAGCAAGTCCATTTGAGCATAAGCAGCTGTTTTTTACAGAGATTATGAAAACAAGAAGTGAAACATGAGAAACCATCTTAGGTCTTGAATATGATTGTAATTTTATTACGATGAAAAAATCAACCTGTACTTATAAAAAGTGCATTTTTATATAGAAAAATAGAGCTTGAATTTTTTATATTACATTCTTTCTTTTTTACAATAATCTAATATCACTTATCACCAAACAAAAATTTATAATGTTTAATTGTTTGCAAGGATTTTGCAAGTAAATCATTATCAAAGATTTTATTATACAAGAACAATACATAGTACAATAGCCTAAACAAAAAATATTTAATCATGAACATAATTTACAAAGACAAGCATAATATGAATACAATTTACACAATCATTTAATTATCTGTTAAGAATAAATTTTATAATATTCAATATTTATACAGGTTATTTTAAATTTTAAACTCATTTTACAAGATTAAAATCAGACAATTTTGTAGCAAAATTTATAATACAAAAACAATCAACCATATTATCTCTTACAAAATTTATATAATTTAAAGGATTGTATAATATCTAAATTACTATTTACAATTAATTTTTCAATTCATTCTATGTGATAAAATCATATAATTTAATTATCATTCTAATCACATAATATATCAATTGTTGAATTAGATTTTTTTTTTTTATTACAACAACCTAGAATTATTGTGCCATAAATCAATTGTCAAATTAAGTAAATTGCTTTTTTTACTGCAACATCCCATAATTATGAGCCCTAAATCAAGTAAACAAGAATGATAATAAAGTAAGACCAAAAATCAGGTTGATTAACAAAAAGTATATACAATATTTAAATATCAATATAAATAAAAATAATTTGCAAAGTTCACGATACATCTGATTTATTAATAATCATTTTGGCTGAATTTTTTGAATTACTCATATTTGGCATAGTGTGCAATTGCTTCACAACTAGAAATTCAGCATAGTGCACACTCTCTCATAACTAGGAATTCAGCATAAGATATACATATATATTTGGTTAGAACAAAATAATTAATATTCTCAAATGATCAGCACATATCTTAGTACATATTTATAAATCAAATTATGATTAGTGTTAGTAAATGACATTTCATATATAGTAATTAACTCAAAAAAAATATGATGAAAATCATAGTCAATAAGTGCCAGTTCAAATCAGGCAGTCCTCAACTATGATGCGACCTAGATGTCAAACCTTTGATGATCCATAATTACTATTTCATCAACCCAATAAAAAATACCATGAAAAAAAAATAAAAAATCCTCAAAATCTAATGAACATATGCGATAATTCACATCAGGCCACCAGTATTTGTGCTAAAAAAATCATCCTATTACTACTAAAATTGCAAAAAAATAAGAAAATTAAGTGAAGTTGAATTAAAAAATTTATATTTAAAATTTAAATTAATCTCATTAAATAATATTGTAGAGTAAGTAAAAAGTTTTTATTGGCTTGAGTCATGTATTGTCTAATTTACTAACCTTTATCTAATATACTTAAAAAAAATCACATTAATATATATTTGTTTTTATATTTGGTCCTATAGTTGCTTCTATGTTTGCTTTACATCTAATATATAACTCTAATATAGATAAACATGCTATACTACTATTATTATATTGGAAAAAATTATTCTATGTTCTAGTATACATATCATATCGAGTATAAATACTCTATTATTTATTTAAACATCTACAAAAATTTTATAAAAAAGTTAGTTAATCTGTAGTATATATAGATATTATCAAAACTCTTTAAAGAGTTTATTCAATAAACAATAAAACAATACTTTGTCTTCTTATTTCTGCTAGATTGTTATCTTTATATCTTCATTTTACCTTGTTTTTTTTGTTGCTCAGGCGTAAGGTTTCACTAATTTAACTTACCAATATACTTTTTTATATACTAATTTTATCGAATAAACTAAATATGAAAGCTGGTAGATTAAAATAAATTAAGTGAGTATGTTATGGAGCAGCACGAAAGTTCAAGTTTACTTAGAGCACTTGGTCTAGTCAAAAGATAAGATAATATACCCGAGCTTCCACCAAAAAGTATTACAAAACATATAAAAAAAATATCTATTTTTGGGCATATGTACAATGTATATACAAACACAGACGCCACCAGCATAATGTGTAACAACATGTGATGATCAGAGTCATAATGACCAATCAAGTGTCTAGAATTGTACACGCATATCTTCTGTTCCTGGTATAATAATATTATTTATAAAATATATAAAAAAAATAAAATACAAATAAAATACAAAGATATAAAAGGTAAAATAAAAATACTATCAAGAAAAAAAAGAAAATAAAAAAAAATTCAGAATTTATTTAATTAGATAATTTTAATTATAGGCTTATATCTTATTTATAAAATTATATATTAAACAATATTATTTTTATTATTAACTTAATTTATTAAACTATTTATAATAAAAATTTTAAAAATAAACTTTAATATAGATTATAGAAAGATTAGTATTAAAAACTAAGATATTAATTAGTCTCAAAGTAATATTTTATAGTTTTTTAATCACTTAAAATATTTATTAAAATATGATTAGTTAGCTTCTTGCATATATTTTTAAATATTGTTTTATTTTAAATATACTCTTTTTTATACTAATTCTGCTTTAAATAATAAATATTACTAACTGGCTTAAGAATTTATATATTAATATTTGAAAAAAGTAATCTAAATTATTTATTTTTTATAAATTTTTTAAACAAATAAAGACTAATAAAAATTATATAAAGTTTTTTATATAAGTTTTATAATTATATAGTAGTTACTTCAAGCTTTTAATAGTCTTAACAAATACTTAATATTTTTGTTTTTTAAATAATTTTCAAATTTAAATATTTAATAAAAAAATAAATTATTAAGAAAAAAGTTTAATTTTTTTTAATTTACTATTAGTATATCTATTATTTAGAATTTTATATTTGTTTTGATTTTGTTAATAAATATCTACTTTATATAAGAACAAAAGTATTGTTTTTTGTAACTACTTATAATGTTTTTTTATTATTTAGTTTTTTAGTTGTTATACTAAACATTATTAGAAAAAATTAAATATATTTTTGTATTTAAAAATATTACTAATTAAAAATATACAATTTAACTACAATTTAATTAAAAATTAGTTATAATTTGACTACTAATTAGTAATTAATTTGTAGATTTTAATTGAATTTATATCAAATAAGTTAAAAAAATATATTTAAGTTTGATCTAAAAAAAATTAAAAATATTTAAAAATAAAAACAGACTAAAAATTAGTAACTAATTTTAAATCAAATACTTAATTTTAATATTTAGTTTAAAATTAACTACTAAATGTTTTTAATATTTAGCTTAAAATTACTATATTATATATTAAAATTAAATATTTAATCTAAAATTAGCTGTTAATTTTAATAAATAATTATTGTTTTTAGTTTGTTTTTATTTTTAAATATTTTTTAAATATTTTTTAAATTAAATTTAGTTCAATTTTTAACTAATTTAATATAAATTTAACTACTAATTAATAGTTACATTATAATTATTTTTTAATTAAATTGTAATCAAATTATATTTTTTTAGCTAATGTAATATATTTAATTTTAAATGTGGGTCTTATAGCTTAGCAGTTAAGTTCCTATACCCTTCACAGTTAAGGTTAACAGTTTAAGTTTGGCTAGAGGCAAAATTGAAAGATTTTAGCTTTTGTAACCTAATAAAAAGACTGTAATTGAATGCAAAGCCCTGTGGTTAAGTCCAAGTATAGTACAATAATAGAAATTGAAATTTCTAGAAGAAGACCTAATCATATAATGTAGGCACTATATATAATAAATAGTTGTTACAAAAGGTTATAATTATAAGAAGATTGCACATATAAGTCCTTTAGAATAAGTTAGCACCAACATTCTTATACCTCCTAATATAAGCAGTACTAACATTCTTGTACCCAACTTGTGAGGTACTTGCTTAGAAGAATAATTAATGAATTATGTGAATAAGTTCTAATTAGAATCCAAGAAGAGAATTTGATTGAAAGAGTAGTTTGAAAGTAACCAAAACTGGAATAGTGAGAGAAGCAGTAAATACAAAGAAAGGCTATAATAAAGAATTGGTTTAACCAAAATTAGAAGCACTTCTGATACAGCCAAATAATCTAATTATAGAAGAAAAAATTTTGAAGATTGGCATATAACTTCTTTGTACAATGTAAAGGTACCAAATTGGGTTCTAGTTATACTTATATAGAAGTTTATAATAAACAAGACTAGGATCAACCAACCAATGTAAAATAAAATCTGAAAGGTAGTACAGCATTACTGGGTTTGGTATAACTCTAGATATAACTAGAATTGTTCTGTAGATATTATCAAATAAGCTAAGAGCTTGCAATATATGATAGTATAATATCACTAAGGCCAAAAAAACTTTCTAGACATAATCAGAATTGTTTTGTTTGTAAATGCAACAAGTCTTAGTTTTTACTATAAAAGGGAGCATTATATTAAAGATTAAATGCAGCATTGAGTTACTGTATGATATTAAGATCTAAAGCATCTGTAAGAATGATGGCAGCAGATCTGGCTTGAAATATAAATTAGTTAAAAAAACTAATAGTAATAGCAGATCTGGCCTGAGATATAGGTTCATTGCAGATCCTAGACGATTGTCAAATACTTTAGGAAAATTAATAACAGGCATACTAAAGATAAGAGATTATAAGGATTAGACATATCTAAGTAGGAACAATTTGGGAGTAATACAATGACAAAAAAATAAAAAATGTAGAGAACAAGGTAATACTAGATATAGTTAGATTAGAAGGCAGTAAAACAAGACTAGATAAAACATGTAAATAAGACATATAAGTATAATTTATAGAAGACAGTACCTTTGGCATTTGAGATATTGTATTAAGTTCAGTAGGTATTCTTGTCTGTATAGAGTTTAATAGTATGCTCTGATTGCAAGTAGTTGTTAATAATAATTGCATACAGGCATGTAGCAGA